AGAGCCAGCAGTAATGGCAGAACGCTGTCACAGTTTCTAATGGTCAAAATCTCTGTACTTCATCACCCACTCATCACTTTCCAGCCAGGTGTGGAGGGACGTGCCTGTAATCCCAGCACGTGAGAGGCTGAGGCAAGAGAATCACTCTGAGTTCAAGACCAGCCTTAACTACATAGTAAGTAAGACCTGTCTCAAAAACACAAAAATCAACTCTCAGTTTCCTAACTACCAAATATGAATCTATCACTGCACAAGACTGAACAGAAAGGGAGTCCCAATAATACTTGGCTTTGATAGTGTCCCTCACAAATACATATTCAACAGGTGCATGCTACATGACATGCAGTGTTTTAACTAACAGTTTAAAAATCGCCAAGTCTTCCGGTGACTCTGCCACCCCCAAGAGTCTCAGCTACAAAGAGGTCACAGTCAAACTCCTGTGCCTTCATCTACACCCCCTGTTCCTCCCACACCTTTGCTGCCTGGGCTCTGCACGTGTCAGTGTGAGGCCCGTTTCTTCTCTGGATCCTCATTCTTTCCAAGAAATGAAGAGATGCGGTTTTCATCTTTTACACAATTACACATGGAACAGTTTTTAAAATAATGACAGCAAACAGTAGGACGAAGATACACCAGATAGAACACTAGGCATGTTACAGACCCTATGAGGTACCCTTATTTAGTCTCCCTTTATGGATAAGGAACTAGAGGCATGGAGACATTAAGTGGCTTGGCCAAGGTCACACAGCTAGTAACAAACAAAAAATATAATTACCAAAAAGTAGGACCTGGCTGACTAGAGCGGAAATGTAAAATGATTCAAAAAATAGAAAATGTCATTAGTAGTTCAATTACACTTAAAGGGTCCTAAGTTTTACCTTTATTTCCCATCTTTCCGACCCATTTTCAAAAATCAAAATACAACATTTGACAGATCTGACAGCTCTACGGTGTCTTTGAGGGTTTAAACTACTTTTCTTCTGGAAAGTTAGGAAGCAACCAGAAGAGGGGACAGATTTCTTGTTCCTTCTCCTACGCAATGCTTTCTGCTGTAGTGAACCTAAATTTCTCAACTAAAAACAGTTAACATTCCTCCTTTGAAAAACTTTTCCTGAGCGTGGCACCAAAAACAGCTGGGCTAGATGGGATGGGAATAGTGGGTTAAAACACGGGGTAGTGGGACAGACTCCCAGTAGAGGTGCTGGCCGAGCCCCCATGGAGAGACAGGTCATTCCTTCTTTCAACAAGTACTCACTGATAGGAGGGTGGGGGCCAGAGGGAGAGAGAAAAATATCCAAAGGGTTCCTCAGGGCCAAATCCTGCAGAAGTGATGATACATAGGTGGGCAGAGACATATGCTTCGGATTGGGGGGTAGAGTTAATGGTTATAAGCTAAAAAAATGTGGTTTTTCCAGCTTCTTTTCTTTAGACCCAAAGACAGCCCACACTGATCACATGCTTTCCTAACAGCCGAATATCTCTACTGACAGGGATTTTCAAATAGCATCTGCAGGTAACTCCTGATTCTGTTGGCTGATTCTTTTGCACGGTGCTTAGATAAACTTCTCCCTTCCTTGGTAGCAGGTCCTCTCTATTTATTCATTTATGTAGCTCTGAAATCAAACCCAGACCTCCTGCCTGTTAGGCACATACTACCACTGAGCTACTCCTGCGTCCCTCTTAGTGCTGGTATTGTTTTTTTGTTTTGTTTTGTTTTGTTTTTTATCTTTTTCCTTTTTATCGGTACCTGGGATCAAACTCACAACTGCCTGCTTGCAAGGCAGGTGTTTATGCCGCTGAGCTAAATCCCCAGCCCCACTGGTGTTGTTTTTGAAACAGGGTCTTGTAAAGCTGCCCAGGCTGGCCTCAAACTCACAGTCCTCCTGGGCTGAAATTGCAGATGTGCACCTGGTGATACAAAAAGAAACTGCTAAAGGCTCAACCACTCAGAAGGCAATAAAGTTGAAGCTATGGAAAGGCACAAAGATTTAAATAAAAGAAATGACAAAACCCCCTCTTGATCACAACTGGGATTCTTAGCCTCTCTGGAAACTGACTATAGGAGTCTTTAAAAGTAGCTTTATGTTTCATGGCAAGAGATTTGATGTTTGGATAGAGTTTCCAGGGTTAAATCTGTTAAAAAAAAGCAAAATGGTCAGCATTATTCTTAAAAACGTTAAGGAAGAATGTGTGTGTAGACTGTGTGCCTGGTAGAAAAAAATACAGAATTAAAAGAAATATCAAAATAATAGCTGTCTAATCAAGTAGAATCTTAGGCCAAAATGCCAGACACTCCAAATTCTAATAAGCAACATAAAAAGCCAACAGATAACACAATCGATTTACTCAGGCTAAGTAACTGAGTTAAATTCTTGGTTACATGCAGCCTCTCAGCCTGCATGTGGATACTCCTATCAACAGTTACCATTTGATGCACATTACTGAGTTTAATAGTAAGCCAGTCCTCCCAAGTGCTACTTAGTTCCCATTTCTCACAAAGGCTAAGTAACTGCTCTGAAGTTACACAGTAGCAAACAGAACTTGAACCCAGTCTATCCCAGTCCAAGCCTGGCTTCTAGGGTTTCTCATAGGATCTTGGAGTCCCTGACACCTAGGTGAGCTGGGAGGAAACTGCAGTTGGATGTCTATCTCTAGATTAGGAAATTTTCCCCCTTGAGATAGCACTTGGTAGCAAATTCCTCAAAACACCTTTAAAAAGTCCTTTACTATCTTTGAGGAAGCAAAGTGCTGGGTTTATAAGACTCCATTCTCCCAAGCATTTCAGATGTGTCAAAGAAATGCAAAACCTCCATTCTTACACAAAGTTGTATAATGAAAGAAAGACACTTATGAAACCATGCTAAGTATCTTCATACACATAAATACTGAGCACTGTGTGAAAGGCTGATGAACAAATTGCAGATGAGGCTCATGTAGAACAACCTAGGACTCTGCACCACAAGGAGTGCAGAGGTCCAACACAGAAGCCAGAGGATGTGGGATCTCCAAGTGCCCTTCTGCCAAACTTCCTACCATGTTTTTTTCCTTAGTTACTTCTCTGAGAAAACCAAAGCATGATCTTGCTTTTTTCTCTGTCCAATGTTATACGGGCAACATTTTTCTCAGGAAGCAAATGGCTATCTTTGTGTATGTCGTAAAAGCCAATGCTTCAGAGAGATAATGAAGCTGAGTGGAACAGCTAAGTCATACTTTCCATTTGTAAATATTACATGAAGCTGAGATGCCTAAAGCTGCTCTGCTAAGAGCAAACACCCTCTTCAGCCCTCAAGAAAAAGGGAGCAAGACTGGGGGTCAGGGTACTTGTGCAGGTGCCTCCTCAGCACCCTCTTCTGCCTCTGTAGCAACAGTGTCCCAGAAAAGTGAGGCTCACAGCTGGGCAAGGGCAGCATGGAGCCCATCCAGATGCTCAGCTGCCAAGCCAGTGCTGGAGACCTCTGCTTTGTTGCTGAGCAAGAACCCACCACTAGTGTAAGTGACCAGCATATATGAGGAAGGCTGAGGTGCTAATATAAAACCTGAGTTAAGGACAGGGATCGCATCACGGTCACTAAACACTTTTCATCTCTGCTCCTTTTGCCAACACGTACCAACAGCATCAACCCCAAACGTGTCTTAGGTGCAAACCAGAAATTCACAGTAAACTAGACTTCTGCACGCCTACTGAGTTCCCCATCATCTTTCAGGGTTACATGGACACCTCCTCTTCTCCTTAGTCACACCTCGGATTGTCTCTCACAAACTTGTAAGCCTCATCCATTATTTGTCATTCATCAAACATCTGGGAGATCCCTCCTGCGTTTCAGGAACTGTGGTAAAGAATACAAAAGGGAATATTGCATAGGCTTACTCCTCCCCATCTAAAGAGAGCAAAAGAGAAGCATGTCCAACTTCAGAAGGAGTGATTGTGTCAGCTGGGTACAGAGAAGGCTTCTTCTGTATTGTGACATCTCAGTAGATTACCGACAAAAGCAAAAAGCCATCAGATGAAGAGTGGAGAGAAGGGAAGGCACAGGATGCCTTGTTTCAGGTGGGGTAACTTTTTCATCATAGCTGAGCATGCGCCAAGGACAAGGCTGTGGTCAGACACTGAAAGACCTGGCCGCTCATGCTGAGAAACCTGGGCAACACCTGTTAGTGAAGGACAAGTAGACATGTTTCAAAACGAAAATCGAAACTTAAATCATATTCAGTCTGAAGAAATGCTTTACTTCACTCATTGAGTTTTCCAAATACTGGAATTAGTTGCTAATATTTCAAAAGGAAGAAATCTCCTGTAACAATCTGGATTCTTGGCTCCTTAGAAAAAGAAAATCTGGCAACACATGGTGACAAACTCTTTGGGTTATAGTAGCTCAGGCTGGAGCTACCCCACTGGGATAGATGTGAATGATGGAGTTTATACCCCACCCTACCTGCAGGGATTTCAATCTGTGACTCCTGATTTTAAAGAACACAGTAACATAACAAAATGGGTGCTGCCAGAGAACAACAGTGAATAGAATGAAGTGCTTAAACTGGCCCCTCAGAGTAGAGGCAGCACAGAAAGTTAGGAGACTATCACTGTGGCACAAGATAAAGTTACCAAAACACGAATTAATTAGAAAAAGGACCCAGACAGAAGTAAGGAGTCGAGAAATGTTTATAATACTCCAGGCACAAGAACTCTTACTCATCATGTAAGGTCTGTGAGTTAGGTAAAGGACGTGGAAGATGCACACATATACGGCCAGCATCTGGATCTCCCACATAGGTCTAGAATCCGTGTGGCTTCCATAGAGGGTGCTTGCTCACTTTGTAGACAGAGCAGAATATGTTCTGATTGCAAACATTCCGAGGCACCCTCTAGACAAGTGATGTTTACAGCACAGCGCGCTACGGAAAGCATTTACCCCTCTCTTATGAGGACCTGGGGCTCCTGAACAAATTTAGAAACGCTCCCAGCTCCTCCAGGGAGGCAGAGGGCCCGCCAGAGAACTCACACAGGCCGTTGACATCCAGCATGTTGGAAATGCCCCGGTCACTCATGTCCACTTCCGGTTGGTTCTTCTCCCGGCTCTCCTCCACCAACTTTTTCAGAGACTTGGACATGTTCTGCACCAAACGACAACACAGCACATGGGCTATGGCAGGAACAGAAACACGGCAGGGGGAGAGGGACACAGAGTTCAGATCCCTCGGCGGCCACGCCCCAGTTCTGGTCAAGGCTGGACAGTGGGTGGAGGAATGGGCAAGGGGTAGGAAAGGTCCAGCCCTGTCTCGGCCGCGCAGAGAAGCAAACCCGGGTGCAGTGGCACCCACTCACCTAGCAGGGCACCCGTGCTGAAGCAGATGCGCTCACTCGCAGCAAACCGGTCCGAACACCCAAACACGCCCTGTCCCGCGGCTCCGCGCAGGCGTACACAGGCCGCCCCCGCGCCACGCCCCGCCCGCACGCGACACTTCCCAAATTAGGAGAACAGTGTATTAAACGCCGCTGGAAGGAGAGGCACCGCCCATAGAAGAATGTGAACCCCGAGGCCAGCCAATCATGTCTTTTATACGGCTCCGAGACTCCGCCCCACAACGGGGTTAGTTCCTCTCGCCGGGGTTTAAAATAACATTTAGACCTACAAACGCTGGGGGCTCAAGATTGGCGCATGCTCAGTTAATTGATGGAAGGTTAAAGTGTTGAGGGCGGAAATGGGGAAGTTTGGCTGGCCTTGGGCCGGAATAAAGTCATAGTTGAGGGTGGGTCCGGGAAATCGCCAAGGAAGTGGATCTCTGTGTTGAGTTTTATTAACTGAAGCTCCACCTACCAGAAGTTTCTGTCGTTAGTAACTTCTCTGCAATTTTGCCTTTATCAGTTCTAACCCTAGAAGGAACCCTTTTCCAGTAGGAGCTACTGGAGTCCACAAGTCAGTCGTGGTCTCTGTATTGTCTAGGTTTCAGCTCAAAATCCTGTTTTTCGAAACTCCCCAAGTTTCTTGTCAGAAGCTACTAGATTTTTTGGACCAGATCTTTGATCTTGAGCACTTGGGATCCCTTTCCCCCCGCCCCCCCCCGGGAGGGGGGGAGAAGTTACAAGTAAAACCCAAACCACTTTAAAAGCCATAGTTGACTTTTATATCTGGGAAACATAAATTTATGGATCACCGAAGTCTTCAATTTCCTTTTCAGAAAGCAATCAAGTTTTGGATTCTGACAAAACTGGGCTCTGCCTTGGTATTTCCTGAGTCAGTTCCATTCATATCACACAGTAATACAAATTCTGTCCTCTCAACTGAAACTTGTACCTAGAGTCAATTACATACCATAAAATAGAACTGATAGACAGTCCTTCTCCTGGTATCACCAAGATAGACAGAAGAACAGGTAGGTGTTGAGAAACAGACAAACACAGAGACACACATACCCAGTCTCTGAACCAGGGGGATGAAAGAAAGATCTGTACCTTAGAATGTGAAATACGAGATTTCTTGTGTAAGGAACATTCCAAGTGAAAATACAATGCTTACATCAGTCTTCTTTACTCTGCAACAGCTCCTCAGCCTTCTTAATCCTTGAACTAGATATTATCAGTGAATAAAGGCCATATAGTTTGTAGAATGTTCTTCAAAGTGGATTTGTCTGAGGTTTCCTTGTGATGAAATTTGACAAAATACCTCTAAAATAAGAGGCCTTTTTCCATATACCCAAAGTAAAGATGATGTTTTTTCCCTGAAATTGGTGAGGTGAGCCCCAATCACTGACATAAAATTGCTATTTTCCCCTTCATAATTAATAGTAATGTGCAAAGGAGATACTTCAGGATTATGTAAAAAGTCCTTTCTCATCTTTTTTATTAATATTTATTATTTTCTAATATCATCTCTGTTTACTAGTTGACATTCTATTATATATACATTTCTTGAATCATTAGCTTTTTAAAAGCAGAAAAGCTTTTTCAAAATTGATAATTTGTCTGGTTCCATTCATTTCTGATAGAAATTCCTTACTACAAAGGTTGAAAGCACTGACACCTCGTGAATATTGTAGAACTATTACAATAAAATACTAGAGGCTGAGTGGCCAAAACAATAGAAATTTATTTCCTCAAGATTCTGGAAGCTAGAAGCCCAAAATGAAAAGCCACCAGGTTTGATTTCTCCTGGGCTCTGCCTGATGTGGAGACAGTTGCTACTCTGCAGATCCTCACATGGCTTTTTCCCTGTGTAGACACTGTTGCTTCCTCTTCCCACAAGGACACCAATTCTATGGATTAGGGCTCTACTCTTCTTTCTTGACTAGCATCTTGCTTTTGTTTCATGAATGATCTCTTTTCTCAAATCTGTCTGACAATGATGGCTTTTATGCCTCCTGTTTATTCAATTACTTTCTTCAAAGGTCCCTTCTCACAGGTGTTTAGTTCTTTCCACTTCAAACTTCTAGGATTCTTCCTGTTATTAACTAATCTTGGTTGCCCTATTATGTTTGAGCTGAAGACCTAAACTGATTGTTGTATATAACTGGAGTAGATTCTTTCATCCTTTCTTTTATATGTATTTTCCCCCTCTGGGGACAGTATTTAGTTTCATTGGGCTGTTTGCTGTGTTTTAGAGGACAAAACACAGTTTTATGTGGAAGATGCTGATTGTAGTGCCAGATAACACAGTTCCATTACTTCCCATCCACCTTCTCATCCCACACCTACTAGCCCTACATACAGACAGTACCTGCAACAGCTTAAAAATAACTTTTAGCTTCTACTTGAAAATTTTTCATCAGAAGAACTTAAATTGGTGCCAGAAATGTAAATTTTCTGATCCTTTTAGCTAATAATTTAGCAATATAAGACAACAGATCTTCCACTTCTCTGGAAATCTGTTCATAGGAATAAGTCACAGCGTATCATGTAAAACTGGGGAAACTATGTGAAAGAGGCACATGAACTTTCTGTAGTGCGGACCTTACAACTTCCTGTGAGGCGAGGTTATTTCAAAATAAAATGTTTTTTAAATTAAGCAAAAAGTACATGCTGAATGATCATCTGTTATAGTAATAGGCTAAAAATGAAACAATATGTGAAGAGGAAGTTGTTAACTACAATACATATAATAACTTACATACTGTATGATTTTAAAGTATAACTAACAATGCTAGAAGCATTAAAAATTATTTTAGTGTAATAAATGTAACACGTGTAACATTTATGCAGTAACAGTTCAGTGGTGTGTAAATAATGATGTTATGCACTGGCAAAGACAAAAGAGGAAAATTTAGAGCAAAATTTGAACAATGATGTTATGATGGAATTAAGGGTTATATTTTTCTTTAAAAAAGTTTTAAGGGATACATTGCTTTGGAGGGTGGGAGAAGCAATTTCAATAATGTATAGTGTTAAATTTTAAAGGCAAACATCTTTAGTTATTAGGGTTAGTAACATTTTGAAAATAAATGGGTCTGTGAGGATTTGGGAAGCTCTGTAGGCTGCTGCTTAGTTGATTTTGGATATCTTCTCCCTTATGATGGTCTTCCTTTCTTCTTGGCATCTGTACCCCGATGAGCACAATTTAGTCCCACCTCTCTGTAGCTGCAAGTTAACTACTTGCAGTGGTCTGGAATGTCTCAAAATTGGTGAAGAGCAGGATCATAGTGGCAGTTTGTCACTGAGAAGCAACCCATTCCATATTTCACAGTTATGGGAACACTGAAGAACCATGTCCTCAAAAACACACAGTTTATAAAAGGGAGATGAGATATACACAGTTAATTTGATTAACAAACAGTGGGCCTGGGGTGCAGCCCTTGAATGCCTGTTTAGCATGGCACCATCCATTACCAGCACCACAGATTCTCACTAACACACACACACACACACACACACACACACACACACACACACAGGTTAATTGCTATGAAAACATCAAAAAAAGGGAGAAATTCTGGCATATGGGATTTGGGAAGCTACATTCAGGTAATAACTTTCAAGCTAAACTATAAACAGTAGACAGGAAAAAGCAAGCATCGTTAGTATTTAGAAGTGTAGAGAAGAGGTCAAGCCCAAGGAAAGCAGAGGAAATGTTCTAGGGATATGGAGTAGTAGATAGCAAAAAACAAGAACACACAGAAATTCAGTAACCAAGAGACAGCAGGGTCCTTCCTGTAGAAAGACTCAGCACCGCCAGGGAACACACAAGGCAGACAGAGGACACAATGAGAGAGAATTTGGAGTTCATGTCAGACTCTTCTATATTGAACTACTGTGAAAGACTGTGTTAATTAGTTGAAAACTAGTGTAGCATCATTTTATACACTTAATATTAATCTCTGACACCCACAATGAAAATCATACTTTTATTTGTTTTAAATTTACATCACTTTTGAACCTTTAAAAAAATTTTAAACTTCAGTTCGAAATACTAGAAGAAAGAATGATATACACATCCATGTGAAAGAAGGAAGTCCATGTACAAAAGATGTGTAAATGTTGATTCCATGTGTTCTCTGGAGGAAATCATGGATGTTCAATGTATGCTCAGTGGCCCAGGCAAGGTCTAGGGTAAGAATGGTAGAGTTCTGTCCCATGTGACGTCTGATGGCCCCTGGGTAGAGCCACAGTCCCAAGTAACCCAGATTTGCTCCCTCAGCTGTGCCAGACTAACTTGAACGCAGACGGACGTGTTGCATACTCAGCATGGAATATTATGAAGGCTCGATTTGAAGAAGCCATGAAAGGAGCTATATTCGTGTCCTAAAAGTCAAAAAAGAAGTAACAAGTTACATGTATTTAAAATTTGAATGGTTTTCTCGAAATGTGATAAAAAAAAAACAAGCATTGCATAAAGTTTTATAAGGTTTATAGCAATCCTGTATACATTTCTAGAAGTCAACTTGGCATGAATTATTGTCAATACTTTACAAAACACTATTTCAATGGGTGGAGTATGAGGAGAGATGGGTTAGGGTTTCTTTTGAGGGTAATGAAAATATCCTACAACATGCATTTTCTACATGTTCTGACTCTGAATCTGCAAGTAACACAAGCTTTCCCTATGAACAAAGACACTTATTTTATTGGAACATGAAACACCTTAGTTTCTCACGCAGTTGTGTATCTACACTCACAATGTGAAGGTCTTCTACTGCTTCATGTAAACTGCCTTTATGCTTTACAGTGTTTCATTCACACTCATTAACATTTGCATGTTAAAGAAATTGGTCATTCCTTTTATTTATGGAAAATATAATTACTATGAAATAGTAATAAAAATACAATTACTGTCATTCATGAAACTACATCTACTTTTTTTTTCCTGAGATGGAGTCTCAATATGCTGTTTAGGATGGTCTTGAACTTGTGGATTCAAGCATGCCTCCTGCATCAGCTTACCAGAGAGGGGACTATATGTGTGCAAATGGCCACATCTATAAAAGAAAATGTAAAACAGGAGAAATACTGTGACAACTAACAGATTAACAAACCTGGCATATTTAGCTATACACTTGGGTTTAATGTGACATTGGCTTAAATGGCCAGCAGTGGCCTTCTTGGTGCCTTGGTTTCCTTTTCTTAACAAGGTCCAGGATGTGCTTGAGATCCCCGCCTCACAAGACTTGTCACATGGGGATCCAGTGAGCCAAAACACACACACGCATACACACACTACACAAATACAAAATAATGGCACTGTTAAAATTGTCTCTCTGCCTCCCTGTTGAAAGATTTCTAAGTCTCAATTAAATATGTAAGATGCAGCTTGTAAATCTAGGATTCTGCATCTCGGCTATAGCCTCCTGTGCGTGAACAGTGAGGTGATACCTAACGGTTCCCCACACAATCATCTGTGTATGAAGCTATAGTTGCCACGTTGTCTGTAGCAGTGAAAGGTCCACATGGCCTAAACTTCCAAACAGAGGGGCTTTGTTGAGCAAGTTAGGCTGACCCCCATGTTGGCCAGTGACAATGGGTGATACAATGAAAAAATACATGATTTTGTTGGCCTGATCAGATGTTTCTGATATGTGTGCTGACAAGTGAAAAAAACATTCCACCACGGAGCATAAGAATGTGCACGTATGTGCAGATACACTCAAGGAAAGGTGCTGAGAAGACTACAGTAGAGGGATTCTCAAGATTTTCCTAAAAAATAGGATTATTTTCAGCTATTTCTGAAAATAACACTTATCCAGTTTACAAATGAGTTGTATTTTTAAAGTTCTCTAGATTTGCAATAATAGAATTCTCTGTCTACTTTGATTGGAAAAGGTAAGTGAGGGATGAGCAGGATAATTAGAAACAGCTCCTTACCATCATCCACATCGGCCTTGACAGCTCCTTAAGCTCTTTTGAGATGAGAAGTAGGAAGGGCGCATGCTGTACCTTACGTCAGTATGAAATTCTAACTTGATGTTTGGGGAAGAGCTACTACATCAGAACTTTCCAAATCAATCAAACTACTTGTCCCTGTCGTTTCCAAGAATTTCAGCAAGAAGTAGAAATGCAATGAAGCCACGTGTCCACATCGTCAATAGTTCTAGTCTCTATATACTCTACAGTCACTATAGAAATAGACCTAAGTATTGAGTACCAGAAGGTGCACCATGAGCGCCTCTGGAGCTTTTGAAAGCAACCTGCCATGACTCTCCTCCTGGAAACTCTGACTGTGCAGCTTTGGGTGGGAACTGGGAGTCTCTCATGTAAGTGTTTCCACAGGGAATTCGGGTGCAGTTTGGTTTGGGCCCTTAGTAGAACTGAAGACCATGGCCACCAGGTGGCACTCGTGCCCCCAGGATAGAAAGCAAAAAAAAAAGCGAGTACAGTGTTAACTGGAGTTGTTAAATGCTTGTGCCTGCGTGTGTCTGTCTGCCTTTAAAATCTAAGTTACCTTAAGTTTTTAAAAGCCAGACACGGGACTGTACCCTCGTGGTACTCACCGCTCCGCAGTAGGGGCCAGAGGACGGAGAGGCAGCGTCCGGCCCGTTGTGGAGCAGGAGATAGTTGTGCACACAGTCTCCCGGGTCCTCGATGCTGACCAGGTAGAAGCTGACCACCACCGGCCTGCCCGAGGGAGCTGTCAGGGCCCACTCGCAGTGAGTGCCGTTCGGGTAGGTGCCTGGGTAGCCGGGGCTGGTGAAGGAGCCGCTGTCTCCATACAGAATCCCACCACAGCCTGCAGGGAAGAGCAGCAGGGAGCTTGAGCGGGCGAAGCTTCAACAACAAGCCTGCTTTCAAGCTTGTGGAGGTCAAGTACACAGTGTGTATTTCATTGACGAGCTGAACGAGGCAATGCAAGAACACCTGTGAGCAGACACCCCTGTCCTGCGCCTTCGCTTTGGGGCTGTGATCCTCAGCTTGGTCACCTCCTCCTCTTAATTCCTTGTTCATTCCCCTCCTGCCATCTCTTCATCCCCTTCTTATTTGAGAAAGATCGACCTCTATATTTAAACTTGTGTGTCTGATTTATTTCACTCAACATTATGGTCGCAAGGCGCATCCATTTCCCTATAAATGTCTCCTTTTATGGCAGAATACCACTCCATTGTGTGTAAATACCACATTTTCTTTATTCCTTTGTCTGGTGATGGGCATATAGGTTGCTACCAAGATTTAGCTGTTAGGAATTGTGCTGTTGTGAACATGGCTATGCAAGAATCACTGGACTATGATGTCTTTAATTCTTTGGGGAGGACACCTAGAAGGAGAATAACTAGGCCAAATGGAATTTCTAATTTTGGTGTTTGGAGGGATCTCTATACTAATTTCCATAGTGGTTGTACTAGTTTAGATTTCCACTAACAAGGTAGATGGGTTCCTTTCTCCTCCTCGCAGCCTGGCCAGCATTTGCTATTATCTGATTTCTTGATGAGGGCCATTCTTTCTGGGCTGCGATGGGAACTTGGTGCAGAGCACACTGTGTGGCCTGAGTTGATGGTAATGATGGTGAAATTAAAAGTAAATTCTGAGGGGCTGGGGCTTTAGCTCAGTGGCATAAGTACCTGCCTTGCAAACACGCAGTCATGAGTTTGATCCCTAGTACCAATAAAAAGGAAAAAAATTTTAAAAAAAAAGTAAATTCTGGGCCAAACAGAGATGCTGCTATTGTAGCTTTTGATGCAAATCACTTTACAATAAAAGTGACCTTACCTTAACAGAAAATGCCTCCCCAGCCAGTGTACTTCAGGTTCTTAGTTGCCCAGGTAATAGTTCCTGTTCCAGTCCCTGTTGCTTCTGTCTCTCAGAAATGGCTGGTCACCGTGATGCACATTGTATAAGCCAATCTCTAACTGACAAGCCATGCTGCCTCTGTACTTCCTGCTTGCTTATCCCATAGAAGCCCTAAACCACCGGACATCAGGGCCTGATATTCTGGAATGATCCAAATTAGTACCCATTGATGTAAATAAATCTGCCTCCAAATTCTGAGGGTCGTTTTGTGTTTCTCCTTGCTGTTGCACTACTAGGATAATAACAGGTTTAGGGTTGATAAAGGCAAAAATCTTTAGATACTGGTGTTATTTATTCCTTTAAATTCCAGAGCTACCGGATATCCATGAAGATCTAGAAGAAATTGGCGAGGCTCAAAAGCACCTGGCCTGGCATCTGCTCCACCTCCGCTGCAGTGCAGCTGGGCATCCTGGGAAACTCAGTAACTTGGTGTTTCACTTCCTCATTTGTAAAATGAGGGCCTTGGAGAAAATTTCTGAGCCTCCTTGAGACACAAAGATTTCATTATCCCGGACTGTCTTCTGGATCAGACCCCTTCTTACCTCTTGGCATGTATAAAGTGATTCCTTGCTATTATTTTTACTTTGGAGGTGTTTAACTGTTTGGGGACCTTTCATTAAGGCATTCCTCCTCACAAGTGAAACACAATGATATGATGTAAATTTTCTCCAGCTCTTTAATAAACCAAATAGGCAAGCAGATAACATCCTGAGAAAGCAAGCAACTTTCAGGACTGCCGAGAAACAACAGGGATGCAGAGCACACAGCAGCTCACATATACACAGGAAGTGTTAGGCATTTGCTTTTGGGGTCTTTTTTTTTTTTTTTTTCCGTTGAATTCTTAAGACAACTGCCTTGTTGATCAAAAGTCAAAAAGCTTACCAAACATAATTTACAAAGGAATTTAAAATTTTTCAGTCTCATTTCTAGTTTTTATGTAAATGTATTCTTTTCTATACATAGAAATAATAGATGTAGAATTAAAAATCTGTGCTTTTGTTGTAAAAAAAAATGCCTAATTTTAACAGAATATCATCAAAGAGATGGCAGAAAAGATAAGGTCGCTTTGTCTTTTTCTATTGGCCATCTGATGTTTTTCTCATCTATATTACTACAGCTTACAAAGTGCAGATATCTTACCAGAAGAGGATGAAGTCCAGGTGATTTCATATCCACGGCCAGAAATTGTGTCATCGCTCTTAAACCGTAGATACAGTGTGTTACTCTGCGAGAAGATAGGGTTTGGTAGCAGAGTTCCACAATACATTCCGAGTAGTGGAGAAGTGCTGTCACTTCCATTTCTTATCTTTAAAAAACAAAAAAAACAGAGGCATTAGTTACTACTGACACACTTTCTTCTCCAACTTACCAAGTACTGTACATAAGGGTATGGAGAAGTTGAATAACCAGGTTTTTGGTTTTTTTGCCAAAAGCCTTGTATTTTTACATACTTAGGAACAAAGAATATTCTGAACATATACACAAAAGTAACTTTCACTTGCAAAGGGGAAAAATATTCAATTTATAGATTAAAACCATTAGCATTTGGATTCAAAAATAGCTTTTCCTTACAGTAATCACAACACCAGGGTACATTTTTATGCTGCAGTTAGTGCTGTTATTCTGTAGCTTTTTGGATGAGGCATTTTACAGGATGTAATTAAAGTGAATGTAAAAAGGTTGGGGGGAGCAAAATTGCTTGATGTTTCTAATTAGCTACTGTACTTTATTCATTAGTGTGTGTGTGTGTGTGTGTGTGTGTGTGTGTCTCATTCCAAGTTACTCCACGCTAGAAGGACTATGGAAAAAAAATACAATGTACAAAATGTATAAAGTCCATAACAAAGGTTTCTGTATGGGAGAAAGACAAAAGCTTTCTGATTTCTATTAACTGCATTTTAAGAACACAGTCTGAGACTGTGTAGTTTTTCTTTTCAGTTCACAGTCTGCAGGAGATGTGTAAAAACAGGAAATGAGTCAGTCTGTTGGGGAAGGTTGGAATAAGCACCCTGTGAATTCAACCACGTTCTGTCCTCTAACCTTGGTCTACTCCCAAGGGCATGCTTGAGGTGTCTGCTGGGACTGTGGCTGGGCAGTGTGTGGTTAGAACCAGCTCAGTAGGTCGGGTACTGATTTCATTGATGTACATAGTCAACAACTGAGAAGTTCCCACATTCCCTTAATCAGTCCATAGTTGAAAGTTTGGCTAGTTGCCAGTTGTCTAAGTCAGAAAACTGCTCAAGAGCTGCAGGGCCTATTTTTCTGGGCTGGGCTGATATGAACCAACGCCACCCCCGCCCCAGTCCCACAGCCTGTGAGAGAAAACAGTTCTGTTCTTCTGCTTGTTGTTGGATTATTCTGTCGCTTCCACATGAGTAAGCTCTGCAGGTGGTGAGGGGCAGACCGGACACCCAGGAGCTCTGTGGATGGCACAGGGTATTCACAGTCATGCCATGAGCTTGGCTCTGCTGTCTCAGGGTGCTCGGGGAGGGGTGGAGTAAGCGGGTGGCTGGGTGAAGGACAGACAGACTGCAAACACGCCTTACTCCAAAGCAGCATCCTCTAGAGATGGACAACAATGGAGCTCACTTGCAGCTGCACAATGGATTTTGTTTTCCCAGTAGGTGTTTGTAGCACACAATGATTACATTCATTGTGGGAGTTAGTACATGGGCATAGCTCACCTGAATGCTTTCTACATCCCCTTCCCTCCTCTGTCCTCCTACTCCATCTCTTGGTCTCCTTCCCTTTTGCAAAAGAGCTATCTCCCTATTTTTTATATCTGTCTTTTATTTTGCTTTTATTTGTATTTTGTATCTCTCGTATAAAAGAAACCATCCAATATTTAAACTGGTACATCCGATTTACTTCATTTAACATTATGGTCTCAAGGTGCATTCATATGTCTACAAGATGATGTAAATGGATCCTTACTTATGGCAGAGGAGTACTCCATTGGGTGTAAATATTGCATTTTGTACTCCATTCATCTACTTATGGATGTACAGGTTGCTATATGATTTAGCTATTATGAATTGTGATGCTATAAACACAGGTGTTTATGAATCACTCTAAAATGATATCTTTAAGTCCTTTAGGAGGATAGCTAGAAAAAGAATAATTGGGTCAAATGAAATTACTAATTTTAGTTTGCAGGACATTTGCTCAAAGACCCTTAGAAGATAGTGCAGGTGGCCCCGCTGACTGTAACCACGGGGAAATCAGCAAGCTATTTAGTATTATTCAGTTTCTTCTACAGACAAAACTCACTTTCAAAGTTAGTGCCACCCTCCAAAATCAACACCTTGCACATGGGCTTTCTCTGGTCCTTATGATCAGAACTCAGTATAATCCCCTCACTAAAGGAAGCCATTGCTGCACCAAACTAAATCACTGTCCCTGGGAGATGGACAGTGTTATCCTTTTTCATGTGCTATGATTGCCTGCTGCCCTCTCCCTGTCTTTTTAGACTATAAATATCCTCTCAGCCCCAGCTATGTTTTGTCTTCTGTTGGATTCCCAGAGCCTGGACTAGGAGGTATTTGGTTTATGTTTATGGAGAGAGAGAATGGTAAAGAAATGGATGCAATGGATAAGCAACATGGAGAATTAGCAACAGGAGAGAAAAGAGTCAATACTTTTAAGAGACCCAACGTCTCTCACATTAACTCATTTACACGACAGTCAAATGCACTTCACCTCCAAGAAATCATGTACACAGTCCGTGGAGCTCTGGATGCCAAAAGTATGGAAAAAGAGAGAGATGGTGTGGTTCTGTGGGGCTGACAGGATAACAGTGCAATCCAAATGTTCATAGTAATTTCCTGGCCATCCAGGACTCGTTAGACTGCCAAATCCCCGGTCATAGTGTCTGTTGCAATCTTAAAGAAAAAAAAAAGTCCATAGTTAATGTATACATCCAAATACTTAGTAGTCTTTCAATCTGAAGTGAACAATTTTCAAAGTCTATAAAATGTGAGCAAACTTTAGGAAAAAGCTAATCCAGCCTGCTTCTTTACCTTTGAGGTCACAGAGACCTGAGATGTGACATACAGTTGCTGACATAAACACCCCCATGCAAAGATGAGATACACGAACTTCCTCTGAAAAAGACTCCATTATCCTTTGAATTCTTGTGATCCTATCAAGGTGCTGGGGTGAACATTTAGACCATTTTGTGAATTTTTATATTTGAGGTACTGGGGATTGAACCTAGAGCCTTCACACGGAGCTTTATCCTCAGTCCTTTTTAAAGTTTCACATTTTGAGAGGGAATGTCTCTAATGCACTAAGTTGCCCATGTTGGGTTTAAACTTGTATCATCCTGCCTTAGGCTCCCAGGGTGCTGAGATTACAAGTATGCACCGCCATGCCTGGTTTACTCTGTTTTAAAAATAAAGAGTAGGTCTCAGACAGGGCTTTGTAGAATGGAAGTCCTTTGGTGAATTATTTGTGTTTATAGTGCTGTAAAGTCATTGTTCTTTACTAATTTTTGTACAAACAAAATATTTTTATTATGTGTTTGGATCAAAGGGTTTTTTAACCAATTTCAAAACACACATTAAATAAAGTGTTCTTCAAGACTTAAACTTCTCAGCTATAAAACCAAGTAATCCTTTTACAGCACTTTGCATTTATAAAACAATTCCCCAATGTATAGATATACAATTTTTTGAATATACTAAAAATCCTTGAACTGTAAACTTTTAATAGGTGTGATACAAGTATTTTATCTTGGTGAAGCTTTTTAAATACATAGATGGTGACTCCTACGTGCAGTCAAGTGGATAATTAATAAAATAAGTGGTACATTTTAAAATTAACTGCATTACATTTTAGTTAGCATTAGACACAGTTAATCTCTTCAGGAACCAGTGCTAGTAATTTTCTAAATTCAGCTTAGGTTCTGGTTAAGAGTTCTATCTAATGGACATGATTTGTCATCACAACCCCTAACCTCGTCACTGGGGTGACTTCTCCCCATAACTGGAAGTTGGTAGGTTTCCTTGAACGACTTAAAGTACCAGGGCTCACCTGCAATCTGATAGGTGAAGCTCACTCTGGAGTTTGAGCTTAAGTCACCGGATTTGAAAACAACAATAGCAGTGCTCAGTGAGGAGTAAAACACTGGCACTGATGTATTTCTCCTGCAGAACAGAATTCTAAGGTTTCCACTGATCTGAAATGAAATGGAAGCAAACTGTGTTAGCTTTGGTTTCAGAAGCAAATAGCCACAGCCAAATTAAACCACATAGAGAAGTCTGACTTAACACCCCAGCCACGGGACTAGCTCTAGTGTTGGAAGAACTCCGCAACAAGACTCACTGTTGGCCTTGGGGCTGACAGATACGCCACCTTCTCAGAGGAGTGAGGGGTGGCGGTAAGGGGACAGCATTTCCGCTGAAGCTGTGGGCAGCTGCCTCCTTGCACACCACTGGCCTCTGCCCTGTCATAGGCTGCCAAGGGCTGGGGCTTGTTCGGAGCAGACGCAGTGCTGCCTGGGCTCACTGCAGGTACCCTGCATGAGCTCTTTCCCTAGTCTTGAGCTCATAAAGCTAACTCAAGACCACTCCCTTGTCCCAGACTCTGCTCCCTGGTCCCAGACTCTGCTGCCTACCTATCTGGTGGCTTTGGCATTCCCTAGAATGAGGTGCTTGGCCCTTGTCTTACACTTGGGTAGCCGTCATGCCCACTCAAAAGCATGGGGCAAACCAACTTGTACCAAAGTCAGTGTCTCTGACACCCTTTGTTTTTGGACACCTACTGAAGGCCTGTGCTCCATCCCTGCTTCAAGACTCCTGTTAGGGCGGCTCCTGGCCCACCTCTATCCCCGTCTCCTGCTGCTGGTCCTTTCCCTAACTTTGTCAGTTGTATCCTCTGAGTCTGAGCTTCACTGTTAACCACTCCCTGTATGCAACACCAGCCTTTCCATGTTGTAGTCTTACACAAAACCTGAGTCTTCTCACCCGCTATCCCGCCAACAGTTCATTGAGTAAAAGTGGTGGCAGGGCTGCTGGTGGCGGCAGTGGTGCTGCTGGTGCTGGTGGCAGTATGTGTAGGGTGTTCTGTGCACTCCGTACTGAAGCACCCACCCATTTGGCAAAGCTCATCTTCCTAGGTAATTCTCTAAATGTGGCCAAAGAGGCTCCCTGCGCCTTCCCACCATGTTTATTTACTTTCCTCTTGGTTGCACACTTTTATTTATCACACACTTGCGATACTTTAGGTCACAGTAATTTCTCTGATTTTCTTCTAAATCTTTGGAGGTTTGAGTTTAATAGACCATTAAACATCTTCACTTTGAGCTTCTTAATACCAGCGATGTTCATCTTCCATTTCTGTAGTTGCCTACCCCGATGGTAGCCATCCATCCATCCATCGCAGGCCCGCTCTACTGCCTACACCATATAATTCCTTCACAATCATCCCACTACGATTCTCTTTCTACTCTTGGAAAGCTTGAGAATGCCAGTTTCTCCAACTCATCCATCAGTTTCTCTCTATCCTCTCTATCTATTCAAACCAAAATGCCTGTGCTTTCTTTTATTAGATGAAGGTCCCTATTCAGTCATGACAAATACTAGGTCATATTGTAAGGCAGTCCAGTAGCTGCCATATTTTCAAATTGCCTTATTGAGCCCTGCCGAGGGGTCTGCATGAAACTCTGCTTTAATCTTCATGAACTGAAAGAGCTTCAATCCAAAAGGTCTTGTCTATTTGGCTGTAAGTTTTCCTGCTGAGGCTACCACTGGGGAATAGCTTTATTTTGAAAACTACTAAACTGTAGAACAATGATAACCAAGCATCTTGACAACCACGGGAACTCAAGACTAATTCCAGTGCCTAAGATTTGTATAAAACTTCTAATCTACTCAGAAGCCTGCACATTGGAGTCAGACAGACTGGAGTTTTCCCCAAAGCCAGGGACTGTGAGAACCAGACAACCCCTACTTTACAATGAGCAGGAGTCTGAGAACTCAGAACATGACAGATGGGATTCCTATTGACTGTGCACAGGGATTTGAGCATAACATTCATGGAATGAGCAAGATAATCACTCCCCACACTGCAATGGCAATGCAGGTATTCACGAGTGTTCTCGCAGGTGTCCATGCTGAGCCCCTGTGTTACATAATTTGCCAGGTAATCTCATCACTTTCATTACCAATTATCTATCTGATGGCTATGTTCGAATTTTTAGGCCTTATGTTAACATCACATTTTCATATCCTGACAGATTTTTCAGCAACTTACCCAATAGGAAATTAAGATTTTCTTCTTTTTTTCCCTCTTTTAATTGAGTCTTTCTCGCTTCCTTCTTTTCCTCCCCTTATTATACTACCATGACTGTAGCTCTGAAAGACTGAACCCTAATGGGCTTGTAGCTGGTTTTTCCATGTTCCAAATAGACTCTTTCAATTCTTCACACAGGTCCCACTAACTACAGACATGGTCCCAATACATGGATCACTGCTATTGTTACCAGAACAGTAGAGATGCTGATCAAAAATTCAAATTGATGGGTGCTATGCAGGGGCGTCAGTGTCAGAGGTGGCCCCAGGAGTGTGAAGTTTTAATAAGACACCTAGATAATCTGCAGGTATCTGAAAAGCTCCTGACTCATAAAACCAAATTCAAATTTCACAATGTGCCCAAATGGAGTTGAGAAACATAAGTGACTTTGAGAACTCATTTACTCATGCCTTAGTTACATTAAGTAGTTTTTTCAAGTATTAGTAAAAAGACACTAGCTGTGGCTGTTGTCCAGCCTGTCATGGTTACCTCTCGTGAGTCCTGAAGCTCTAAGTAGTTCTGGGCACAGTCCTCCGCATGCAGCTGTAATTCCCACACAGTTATCTTGACCTGCTGGTGACGTGGGGCTTCAATGACCCAAGTACAGGTGAAAAATGGAAATCTGGCGTTTAATACAGAGGGTGATGAGATATTTTGGGGATTCAGAGTTGCATTATACATTCCACCGCAAGGCACTGAGAAGGGAAGAAAGAAACAATGTAAGAGATATTTACCCATGTGTCATCACACAGTCCCTACAGTTCTGCCCTTCCTACCCTGCTGGCACAAAGGGGACATCCTTGAATCATTCTATTAAGGATTTAAATGTACATTTTGACTAAGGATTGCACCAACTTTGTACTTCAGATTAAACAGTCAATAAAATATGTTTAGTGATCAACTGAGATATGTTAGTAATTAACATCAAGTTTAGATAAAATAAAAATAGTATTTTTTAGTACACAACCACTTATGTATTTAATAACATATAAAAGTATCAATTTACTTACTGTCCATAATGGTGTATGTGGCACGAAATCCTTTTGCTTCATTATCTAGGTCACTGACAAATTGAACTGTAAGGAAGTTCCCAGAAGAGATAAAAGGAGCAGGTACTGTGGAACCACAAAATGTTCCTACCAAGTCTGCATTTACACTGTCCCCATCGTATAACTGAAAAGAAAATGCGCTCATGAGTTCTCCCTTACTCATAAAGAATTGCACTATTTTATATTGCATAGAATGTGAAGTCACCAAAGGTCATGACTAGGGATGTTTACATTGGTATTCTGACAGTCTTAATTTAGGAACTAACTTTTGATTGGATAGATGACATAACAAAAATTTTAAGTATAAGACTGGTATGGTACCTAACATTTGTTTTGTCTTTAGGAAAGTAATCTATGCTCAAAGAACAGTGTGTCGTGAGGCTCCTCAAACCCACTGCTGCCTCACGACCGCTGCTCCCACCACCACGCTGGTCCAGGCCATCCCGATGCCTTGCCTGGAGCATCACCAAAGCGCCTTTATGGAGCCCCCGATTCTACTCTTGTCCCTCTCTAGTCTCTTCTCAAAATGTCAGCCAGAGGCTAATGTTAAAAAGAAGCCAGGCCAGTGCACGTTTCTTCTCTTAATACAAAAGCCATTGCCATACAATGGCTAAGATCCGATAGAATCTGCTCTCCTCCTCATCCCTGATCTTTCTGGTCTCACTTCTTACTGTCTCTGCTTTGTTTCCTCTTGAACCACCCAGATACCACCCTGTGTCTTGGCAGTTAGTTTGCTGGGCCTTTGCCTGAGTCCCAATTCCTCTGGATCCACACAGCTGTTCTCCTGCAGCTCCTGTGACCTCCACTCCAGGTCACTGACTCAGGAAGGGCTTCCCTATGTCAACTCTCCGACATTCCCCATTTTCTTTCCTGTCTTGACTTTTCTTCAGGGCAGATTGACATTCTGTACTACTAGGTATGTGACTTGCTCACTTCACTGTCTTCTCCTCTAAGTGAATGCAAGTTCTACAGAAGCACACATTTATTTCTGTTCTATTCATCGCAATGTCCTCAGATTTTAAGAGTGTCTGGCACAGTCAATAAGACCCTAATAAGTGAATATGTGCTTTGATTCCTCTCCTCTACTATTTACCTGTCTTTGCATTGCATGGCTATATCAGAATATCCCAGACTGGGTGATTTATAAAGAAATGTATTTCTTACAGTTCTGCAGGCTGGGGAGTCCAAGGTCAAGCTGCCTCCCTGCTGCATCATGAAAAGGGAGAGGCAGGGATTCAGAGAGAGCCGGGCATGCCAGCTCCCACATCCCTTTTCCTTGAGGAACCCCCTCGAGGTATCCTGTAGCCCTCATTACTTCCCCAAAGGTCTACCTCCAAATACAAACACATGAATTTGAAGATTGTCCAACATTTAAACTTGGGAGACACACTCAAGCCACAGCCCCACACTTCCTCAAACTGCTCTTGCCAAGTCATCTTCATCTCAATAAATGACTGAAGCTTAAAATTTCACTCACACCTGATTTCTTTCACATCTTCCTCTTTATTTCCACAGTCATTCCCTTCCACCTTTAAAATGTATCTCAGAGGATGCGATCTCAACCGATACCACCACACCCTCTACCTGAAGATTCCTAATTCCACAGAGCAGGCCCAGATTTCTCCACCAAGCTGGCCGAGGGTCTGTGACCTCAAATCAGGTTTCGCTCCTGTTCCCCATGAAATGCTCCCGTGGATTCACCTTACAGTGAGGGCAGAATCCCTGCTCCTCTGCAATCCCATCAGATCCTGCCTGTGCCTCCTTTCAGACTCACCCCTTTCTCTCCAGCCCAAGAGTGCCCCAGCTCTGCACTGGCTAACAGTGCTCACTGGGCAGCTCTTGAATGACCGAGGCAGTGATAGGAGCTCAGCTCTCCTCAGAGGCCAAACATACCCAGTGCTGACCTCACCCACCATTTTATTTTATTATCATCAAATTGTCTTTTGGGAGCCTGTGTTTTCTGGGATACCGGCTGTAGGCCTGGAGCTTGTGTGACTTTTCTGGTCTTCCTCTCAACAGGAAAGTAAATCTCACAGACAGGGAGACTGGATTATTCACTGTGATGGCTCCAGCACCCAGCACCACTGCTAGCAGCAACAGTCGGGGCCTGGATCTCTTTTGAATACTCTACTAGAAAACCAAGTTGTATAGCATCTGAGTAATCTTGATTACACTTCTAAAATAACTGTCTATGTTTGTGTAGTTTGAAATAATAGTCATAACAGAACAACGGTGTGCCAGACACTTCCTAACAACCATGACCGCTGACATTATTTTAAAATGCTAGGATTATGTTGCATAGGAACAGTTATTTCAAAATTTAAAAAAATTACCACTAGATGGCACTGTCTCTCCTACTTAAACATAATTTCAGAAGAGATCCAAGAATTCTGGAATCTACCCAATAATTTTGAAGAAGAGGCTATTTGCCAAGTTGGAGGTAACATACTTTCTGTTGTAAACAAGTTAAAATTTCATTAAGATTATTGCTGTTTTCATGATTGAAATCACATTAGCGACAATTTTTATTCCATGTACCATTAAAGTGTATTGTGTGTCAGACCTGCTGCAAGATGCTAGAAGGTGAAAAACACTTTCTATACCTCCAATGTGCCAGTGGACTAATGGGAGAGAAAAAGCTGATAAATTAAATACATCACACACACACACACACACACACACACACACACACACGCATGCATGAGTGCACACACACATGGGAATGTAAATCATGCAGAAAAATGGGGGAAAATGCTACCATAAAAGAATGGAAATGTGGTGAAGATGACGGAAATCAGGGAAGACGTCACGTAGACATTTAAATTGCTCCTTAAAAATAAGCAGAGACCTTTCAGACTTACAAAAGAGAAAAGGCACAGCCAGAGGGAACTCGAATTGGGAGGCCGTGGATGCATGAAATGCACAGCACATGCATCGGATGGGACCAGAGATGCCAGAACAGGCCAAGCGGGGAAGGGTGTTGGACAAGGCTGTGGGGTTCGATCCATTTCATCCCCAACAGCTGGGATCTCACCCTACAAGAGTTCTAAGACCTGACTTGGGTTTTAAATAGATAACTGGTAAAAATGGAGGAAGTATGAGGGAGAAGCCACGATCAGAGAGGAGGGACTTGCACGCACATATGTTCCTATGCTCCCTCTGCATTCCTTCATTCCCGGCTGCAACAAGTTTCTCCTAATTGAGCTGAAATAACTTGTGGTTTCTGTACAACTGACACAGGCTCATAGACTCCTGTGTAGTAAAAGCCAAGATTTCTCCATCTGCTCTGCCATTCTCAGCCAACCCCAAATCTCGGCTGTGGGCTGTCTAAATGTTGCAGGTAGTGGCTATGGGTTCTGGGGAGGGGACTGGATAAGGACTAGGACACATTGTGCTTCTCAGGGCCTTCATGGCGGAACTGCACACTGTCTGGCTTCTGGGAGTGGACATTTCCTGGGATACTTGCATTAGGCCTAGGTTTTGAATTATGTTCTAAATCTTGTAGATGTGGCCAAGTGCTGAAAAGAATTTTGTATTTTCCCAATTTTTAAGTCCCTTTAAAAGTGTTAGAGTCTACTTGAAATCAGCCTCTGGTGACTAGAACTACTGTTTAAGATCCATTTATCTCAGCAGTTGAAGACATGGGAAGGAAAGCTATGGATTTTGTTTCCTATAAACTTTTAATGCACAAGAGCGACAGACTTTGAAATTAGAATTTAATTGTTTTCAGAACTAACAATAACTGCAGATATTAATTCCTGTAGGATTTTGTTATCTAATATTTCCTAGGGAATTTACTAATAGGAGAATGTTTTACATTCTTATTTGAATATTTCAAATTTTCATCTTTTTAAAAAATTTTAATTTTCATTAGTGCATGTTTTCCATACACAGTGATGACATTCACTGTAGGGAGTTGGTACAGGTACACAATTCTTTTTATGTCATTGTCCTCCCCTCCCATCTCTTGGTCTCTTTCATGAATTGTTTTCTTCCCAGTATAGGACCACTGCAAACAACTTACGTCTCCAGTACCTTTCATTTTGATCCATGGTTTTACTAAGTTGCCCAAGTTGTCCTCAGACTTGCTATTCTCCCTGCCTCAGCCTCCCACGTAGTTGGGATTATAAGCATGTGCCACTGTGCCTGGCATCTTTGTGAATTTCTTGATCTTACTATAGGCTCTCTGATAGGGTCTTCTGGACAACATGCTGGAGCATACTTTGCTAAGGGTATCAGAATACAGACATGGGGCTGAACTCTGATTCATTTCAGAACTTTGTGGAATAAAACTTGTGCTAGTCCCACTGGTCTCAGGAAGAGAATCAAAGCAGCAATGATTAGAACCTGCTCTAGCAGTACAGGTATTTTCACAGTATTTGTGTTAGTCAGTTTTCCATCACTGGGACAAAATAACTGAGATAAGCAATTTAAAAGGAAAGGTTTATTTTGGCTCCTGTTTTCATTAAGTTTCAGTCCAAAGTCACTTGTCCTTGTTGCTGCGGGCCTTTAGTGAGGGAAAACCTGGTGGGGTGCACGTCAGGGAGGATCCTGCTCCCCTCATGGTGGTGGGAAAGCAAAGACAGAAAGAGAAGAAGGAGCTGGAGCCCTAATATCCCCTCTTTAAGGTCACCCCTTAGCGGCCTAACTTTTCCATTAGGCCCATTCCACAACCTCCTACTCACGTCAAGGCTGGCTACCGAACCTTTGACACATGAGCCTTTGGGGGACGTTTGAGATTCAAACTACTTTAGCAGTTTTGAAAAATCTTAATGCTCTCTTTCCTGTGCTTGGAGAAATATCTGGAAAAAGGTGGGCTCACATCAACATTTATTTAATTAATAACTAAAGGAAGGAAGGAAAAAGGAATAGCAGTACTACCTTACAGGAATTCAATGCCTGCATGGTCTGCTGATCTCCCCAAACACAGTCAGTCCCTCTACCTGGTGGTTGACCACAGAACAAGTGGTTAAACCCAGTGGATTAAGACAGAGCTTTTCAATGGAATCAGTACCAGTCCCTAGGGAATGTTTTACACACGTGTGGGATTCTTTGAGTTTATACTGGCATTAGAACAATACTGGGGAGAGTCAATCTGGCATTTCCTGTTTAGAAACCACACTGTTAAATCCCACAGGACAATTAATATAGAAAATTTTCACATGAGATGGAAAAGGAAGCTTTACAAAATATTGGCCATCAATGGGGCACTGATTTGGTTTAGAGAATGCTGGGAAATATCAAGAGGAGGCCATCTCCTTGCTGCTGCCGCCATGTTTCCCAGCAAAGGAAGTCAGAGTTACACCTCTGGTCCCTCTCAGCCACCTAACCACTCCTCACCACAGGAGTGACTGAAACAATATGCAATTTGGTGTTAAGAAACCGGGCATGACATTATGCACTGAGGAGCCATTCCTGTTTTCCCTAGTTTTGGTGACCAGCCTCCCCTCAGAAGCAGGCTTTTAGTTCCTCACAATTTGTGGAAGGTAAAAAAGGGAGGAAGCTTTCATTTATTTGGAGCATTCCATCTAGGAAGCCCTTTCTGAGACTCAGAACAAAGCTACTGAGATGGTCCACTGCTCTGCTTTTCTAATTTTTTTTATTTGCCCTTTTTGTCCTGTTGCATAATAACATGCTTAGACACCAGTCTCCTCCATGGGCTGACAGCTCCTCGAGTAGCTCTGACTCCTTGAAATGTGTCCTCAGCTCTCTACAACTCCAGTGCCACGTACAATCACTGCCAGATATCTCAGTGATGTCGATTCCAATAGCAACCTCTCGGTGAAATGCACAGTTCATTATGTGTTATTTACTCTCCAAGCCAAACCCTTCAAAAATAACACTGACAGAAATATGAATGAATAATGGATTTGGCATGATAAGCCTTGCATATCTACCTAGAGAGTAGAATTAATTTAGCTTTTCTAAAAAGCAATTTTATTATAATGTCTAAGAAGCAATTTAAAAGGGAGCTAATGTTCTGTTTATCACAGAGACTCAGTAGTAAAGGTATCTCCAAGCTTTGCATTCCAAGAGCTGTTGTTTGGTCTGTTAGTTAGCACAAGTTGGAAGACTTGCTAGCTGAGAAAATTACTTTCCCAACAGGCAAAACAAGAGTTGATCTAAACAGGTTTGGGGAGGGGGGAGGAACAGCATTTTGTTTTGAAGCTAGAAATGAACCACTTGTTTTTGACATTGCCATTTTTGTCTTAAATGATTTGAAGAAATTCAGAAGATTATAAGCTGTTATAAATTATCAAATCACAATGCTAGAAATAGATCTTGAGTGTAAATACAATCAACTCTCCCTGTAAGATCATACCCAAGATACACTGCACGAACCTAAATTTATAATTTTTATATATGTCAATTTTTTTCAATGTTTTTAAAAAGAGACATTTCATAGACACTGTGCCTATTTGGATTTACTCAAAGGAGGAAATAAAGGGAAATAAATTTGTTAACAATTTATGTCAGACATATTGCTAAACACTCTAACATGACTTTTTAAAAATCCTCAAAACAGCTTTGCAAAGGAAGCTCTATTGTGTGGTTCCTTTACATTAGGTGCAATGATGAAGAGTCAGGGAAACTAAGGAATCTGGTAACAAAAGGGAGACCGAGTTCTTGTACTGTCTCTAAGCATGTTCCTTCTCTGTAAAACTAAGGGAGCTCTACAGTCTTCAAAATCAGGTTGGGGCTATTCCTGGCATTTTGGTCTCATTTGAAGAAGAAGGATGCAGCCTGAGTTGACATTCCTTGTTATCTCTAGCCTTTCATGAACTCACTCTGACCTGCCTTCTGTTCCAATATTTTATTAAAAGGGTTGTCATCCAAAGAATGAGTTTGTTCTTCACTTTAACCTTTCTTTATCTGTAATTTGCAATTTAATAGCATCAACCACCTAGCCTTGGAGGAGTCTTTCCCTCAACTTCCCTGTACTTTTGTACAGTATTCCTGGTCTTCACGACTCATCTGTTTCTTTTATCCTCTCCAATTGCCTCTTCCTGGAAGCTAGTGAGATTGTATGGCTACCTCTAAGCCACCTAAGGAAGCATTCTTTCTTCGCATTGAAGTGAGCTGCTGTCTCTCTCTACTCATGGTGATGCTTGTGTCCTGTGAGAACTCTTTCCCCTTCTATGCCCAGAGCAATCCCATGCATCTGTTCTGCTGTCACTGAAACCATGACTCCTAAGAGTGCACATGTTTTTATGGGATCCTAAGCGTAGTGTGTACCACAGTAAAAATGTAAGTATACGACTGAACGCTTAAATATCTATTCCACCTATAGCTTTTCCTTCTCTTTTAAGCCAATGTCTTTAACATTGAAGACCACCTAACACTAATGTTTTGCCACCTGATTCCAGATACTTCTTAAGGCAGGATCACTCCCAGGAGCTCTACCAGCACCCTTCTCTCATCTGTATGCGGGTTCCACATCATTCTCTGCTTGGATAACCTTCAGCCACTCCCTGCTTTGAGCTGCATAATATCTAAATTCATTCAACTGACTTTTAGGATACTTTACCTATGTTTTCTCTATTTTAGGCAACTTTAGTTTTTCTTAATCTATTAGTATTTTGCTTCAATAAGTGCAGCCTCTTTATTCTTTAAAGAAGACAACAGTACAACTTCTACACCCTTTCTTACATTCACTTTGCCTTGAGTTCTCTCTTAATTTGAATGTTTTCCCTTACCCTGTGAAGTCTTTCTTGATCATACCAGATTATCATTAACTTCCCTCCCCTTTAAACTTGCATAATGCTTCAAGCTTGAATCTAATACATTAGTTAGTACTTAAATATTGATTATCCCGAACAATTCATGCTGGATTTGCCTGTGTCTTTCCTTAATTTTCCAATCAGATTTAAGTTCTCTATGGAAAAAAAAAAAAACCCTTGTTTTAATTCTCCCCTGACAGTGTACCAGGAAGTATTGGTTGCTGCTACTTAAAATTTATACTCTGAAGTCATATAGTTTGGAAATTACAATAATTTAATACTAAAGAATTATTTAAAACTTGAACAGAAAGAATCATGGTTTACATTTAAAGGGACTTAAGAACTGAGATATTTTCTGTATCTAAAGGCAGTATGAGAAGTCAGTCTATAAACTTAACAAACAGACAAGTTAGAAGATGGTTATTTGCATAACAGACGTTGTCATTTATTTTATGATTTTCCAAAGGTGCTATGAGTATCTCCAGTCTTCTCACAGTCCACTATTTATTTATTTATTTATTGTCTTTTTAAGAGGGTCTCACTATGCAGTTCAGGCTGGTCTTAAACTCACTTTGTGGCCCAGGCTGACCTTGAACTTGCAGCAATCCCCCCTCCTTAGCCTCCTGAGTGCTGGGATTACTGGCATGCGTCACCACACCAGGCAGAGTTCACTTTTTGACAAGGCACTGATGAAGCACAAACTGAATCTTAAAGCTAATTTAGAAGCCACACAAAATCTGTGTGCTATTCATATGAAAGATTAACTTGATGCGAAGATATGCAATATTATATGTTGAATCACTGAACAATATATTATTGTAAAAAGCTATAGTACTCACCATTTTCAGGACTTCCCATTATGGTATACCTGGAATACACTTTGTTAGTTTGGAGCTAGTAGATTCTGTTATAAATTAATAGTCTTACCGTCACATAATCATAAAGGCATCCTGAAGAAGGAGATCCTCTCTCAAGAACAAATGTGTCAAACGTGAGTTTTATTACTTTGTTTACAGGTGCAGTTATGAGCCATATGCAGTTTAAGGCCCTGTCATATCTTCCATTTGAATCAGAATCAGGAGAGATGAAAGTACCGTTGGAACCTGTCAGATAACCCCCACATCCATGCTGTGGCCCTGTTAAAACAAAGACACATCACTATTCAGACAAAGCAGAATAAATCGTAAAACTGATTTGGAGTGTTTTGCAGAGTATAGTTTCTGCTTTTTGTCACACTTGTACAAATGTTATCCTATCATCCCGGAGCATCTGCAGGCTCGAGCAGGGGTGATCTTCACTTGCTTTGGTCCCTCCTTCCTTCCTTCCTTCCTTCCTTCCTTCCTTCCTTCCTCACTCCCATTCCAACTCTGTGTCACCTCCTTATCACTCACATATATTTTACCTAAAAGAGCAAGGAACTATGGTTCTGTGTGCATTTTTTGGAACTGTTCATGTTTGCTGAAGTCTTTTCAACCTTGAAAAATCCAATTTTATATAAAATCAAGTATTTTGCATAATAATACTGGTGGAAAATGTATGTTTTACTTCTATGTTCCACTTTTATGAACACAGCCAGCCTGAAAACTGAATTTATGAAGATTTACTCAATCCTTCAAGAAAACTGGCTCCCAGCAAATTTTTACTCAAATCATTTGATAGAAAGTGGCTAAGAAGCATTTAATACTTCAGTCTAGCTTATATTACATCATACTCTGTATTTGATTTTTTTTTCTTTTCCAACATCAGGGGAATGAGAAAGCTAAAGACTTTTATAGGATATAATTATCTACATTGAAATACAAAAATTTGTAATACAGAATAAAAATACAAAAGTGAGATAAGAATATGCTAAAGATGATTAAGGGATCTACTATGGAAAATATGAAACAAAATTCTCAGGTTATTGGATTTCATTTTGTCCACTCCACAGTGAAAACTGCTATCTCAGAAATGAGTTAGGAATAAGAGCTTACAAAGAAGAAAAGTTTATTGACGGTTTAAGGAAGTAGGAAAAATTAAGCTCAAAACAGATGTAGTAGGAATAGGAATTGAGTTGGCACTCAAAGTAATTACCAAAAAGCTTGCACTCCCCGCAAATCGAGGTTATTACTGATTCCAAAGTTAAATCCCAAGGCCCTGAGCCTACCTTCACTGTCACAGGCCAAGTATCTATCTAGCTGGATGGCTTTCCACATTAGGGGGCGCTAAGATGTTACACATGGATCTTGGCAGGAAATGTGCACCATAAACAATGGCAACCTTCCTCCACTCTGATCTTAAAGCCAATGAACAGCAAATTTTCAGAGTTGCCACTGAATTTTGGACTTGTTTGTGCAGCATTATTTTGGCAATATCAAGTGAAAACACATGCACAAATATTTAGTCTAAGTTATTAAACTAGAATAGAACACCTGGCTCAATTCATACTCATCTATGTGCAGAATAAAAAGATGAAGAACTAACATCTTTTGGTAAGCCTGCCAAAATAGTCAAATAACTGAAGAAAACAATATTATTTGAGCAAATAGATGTTTGTGGGGTGCAGGAGATGTTATCTCCCTAATTTGTCCGATTCAGTGTTTAAACATAATACAACTGCTCTGTGCTTTTAATCCGCCAATGACAAAATGGAAATGGAAGTGTATGTTACAGAAATATAAAGATCAATACAAAGAAAAGTATGCTACCAATGAAGTGCTATTGCCACATTACTATTTTGGTGTTTTAATGGCAGCAGGATATAATGGGAAGGAAAAGAAAAACTCTGTGACTCTGAAAACGATTGCCTATATAAAGTGTATATATATATATATATGTGTGTATGATACATGTGTACTGATATTTTGAAACTGCCCTTTTTAATGGTATAACACATTTAAACCTTGATATGTTGAACACCATAAATCTATCATCTTCTCTATCACTACAGTTTTCTACCACCCATCCAAGACTCATCCATCAGCACCTGCTTCATCAGTCAGGTTGTGACAGGCTCTCTCTACTGCCGCACCTGCTGCCTGAAAACAAATGTCACTCTAACCTTATTCTCAAACTTGGAAACATTTCACTCAAAAGAGCTTTTCCTTTAGAGAAGGAAAATATTTTGGCTAAAGAACTACTGGAAATATAAACCCACAGTAAGTAGTAAGATCTGGACCCAGATCTACTTAATTAAAAATCAGTAACTGAATCCTAAATTATTTCCTCCCAATGATTAAACTTCAGAGTGAAGCTCAAGCCAGCCTCAATCTGATAAAGGAAGAAGTATTATCTAAAAGAAAACATCTTGAAAGCTTTAGTGAAGTTATTTTGAGAATTGACATCTTTGTGGCTGATACTGCATGTGGCTGATATTTTCCTGAGCTTTCTGGGATATCTCCATAAGTCTCTAGGTCATTACTATTTAGGTGACAGATGGCTAGCTGAACCTATAGATAGATAGTGGCTCCTATGACTTCAGGTACAGTTGAGGAGGTAGTAAAAAGGCCTAAGAAGCATAAAGCAAACATTGAAAGCTGGAGACTTGGGAAATGGGAGCACCATGGTGCTTCATCTTAACCTCTCAGGGATGAGGAATAGAGCTTCATAAGCCTTGTTTTCAAAACCTTGCTATGACTTTCAGCACTACAATATACACTTGTTCCAAAGCAGTGAATTCATTTTAAAAATTCAACTAATTTTAATAATGAACCTGTTTTTGCTTTTTCTCCAAAGATATAATTTATTAGTCTACCTAGCCTCAAGTATGTGCAATATTTTTGGAAAATATGTAACACAAGAAAAAAAATTTTAATGATGTTTGTAACACTGTATGTTATTTCTTTGTTTTGCTTGTGTTTAGTAACTTAACTAAATTTGATGCACTTTAGATATCCTAATTTGAAAAACACCCTAATTTAACTCAGAATGTGTATTTATGCTGGTAACATTTGAGAAACACACCATTAGAATATTAAAAGAAAGATAAACTACTTTTAAAAAGTTAATTGCAGCAGCTAATCAATATAGAAAATACAGGCGCCTGATTTACTGGTCCAGCTCCCGACTTTTAGACTTCATCTGCTTTCAGTAGTATCCATACTTGGAAATTTTTCCTGAGCCGTGATCTATAGTGTACACTCCTCTCTCCTGGTGCCGGCTCAGCTCCCACACTATCACAGAGGTGAGCAACTGATAAGCTACACTGCAGCTCACCAGCCTGCTGAGCCGGGATGTAAACCCACCACAGGACAAGGAGCATCTGCATAGGGAATTTAGGAAAAGGACAATTTTATTATTTTCTTTTCTTTTGTATTATTTACATATCATTGAAAACACCATATGTGTGCAATTAGTGCCAGGGAATTTAAAGAGAATGATTCTATCTTTGAAAATTAAAAAAATAATTAAACCAAAAAATTAAAAATGATTAAGCAAAAAGTTGTCTATTATTCCCCAACTGATGCATGTCAATTTGTGCTAAAAAAGAATTTAACAAAACCAACACATAGTTGTGATAAAATCTTTCAGTAATTTAGAAATAGATGGAAAATTTCTCAACTTGATAAGTGCATCTCTAAAAACTTACAACTAAAAGTGTACTTAATGATAAAAAATAAAGACTCTCCCTAAGATTAGGAACAAGGTAAAGATATTTCATTTTTACCACTCTGAGTCAGAATAGTATTAGAAATCTTGCAAGTAACAGTCAAGAAAAAAAATTAGTATAATGGAAGAAAGAAGTAACTGGAAAGCAAGAAATAACACTGCAACTATCTGCAGATAAATTGTCATGTAGAAAATTCCAAGGAAATCTGGAAAAATAGTGTTAGAAGTAATGAATGAGTACGGTAAAACTTCAGAATAGGTGACAATATACAAAACAAATAATACAATGAACATGTGGATACCAAAACTGAAAACACCATGCCAGCTATAATCAAATAGGTATATATTTAAGGAAACTTATAGAGAATAAATGTACTGAAAATCACCAAAGGATGAAAGAAATAACAGAAGACGAAAACAAATTGACAGACATATGTGTCCATCCGTTGAAGATTTTCACAGAAAAGACCTTCCAAAACTGCCTCAGAAAATGGCAAAAGCAATGGAATAAATTGTAATCAACAGTATTTTGAGGGAGATTATTGATGATGTGTTTTTTATTATAATAAACTTTTAAGGATTTGAATATTTATATTTACATATTGGTCATAGTATATTTATGTTAGAGCTAGATATATGTAAACAAAATGGTTTTTTTTGATAGGGTCTTGCTATGTAGTTTAGGCTGACCTGGACTTACTGTGTAGTCCAGGCTGACTTTGAACTCCTGGCAATCCCTCTGCCTCAGCTTCCCAAGTGCTGGGATTAGAGGCATGTGCCACCATGCTTGGCTAAACAAAGTGGGTTTTTTTGGGTGTCTACATATTAGCCTACTTTGAAAGCTAATTTATTTGGCCTTAATGGCATAGTTGATTCATTAAGTAGGGATTAAGTGGAATAACAACAAAACTTTCATCAAAAAATTTGAAACACTGTCCAAAGGGGTAGCTTTATAGTAGAAATAACTTGTTTAGCTAAAAATTTCTGACAACAAAAGATATTAAGTCTGTTATTTAAGAAACTTTAATCCTGAGTATTGGACTTCATTAATTTATAAAATTTGTGTGACACTAATATGCAGTAACACTACTTAAAGGAAATCTGACTTTAATATTGACAGTTTTAAAATTGTTACTCAACATTTTGACAATACTTTTTTAACAATACCCATGTCTTAGTAGTCACATATTTTATATTTTTCAATATAGAAGTGGAATTTAAAAATTCAGCCCATATTTTTAAATAATTTAAACAAGGAAATGGAGCTTTTTTATCATTGCTATTAATGTGCTTGCAGATTGTGTTATTTATATTTAAATTGTTATTACTTTGGTGGCAGTACTACTTAACGGGGATGGGGATTATTTCCCCACATCTTAAGAATTGCTAAATGACCCTGAAAGTCATTTGATTTCTTTGTGACTCAGTTCCCCAATTTTCAAATGGAAGTACATGACTAGTACATCGATCAGGATCATACCATTTGAGTAAGTTGCTTCATTATGTTACAAACCCATGATAAGTGACTTTGCTACGTTGGAGGTGATAA